GCAACTAGTTCTCTGTCTCCTTCAAATTCTGTCTCTCAAGGGGGATATCGGTCCGTCCCTTCACAACCCAACAAGTCGTCCACCGCCATTGCTTCCGTTTTTGCATGGTCCGATAAAGGTTCCTGGGAGAGCCTTCTGCCCGATGAATGTAATATTTATGTTAGTCCTGGACTAGTGGAAGCATATGACTTGAAATCGGCCTCTGCCTCGGATGACGATCACACACCGTCTAAACAGGAACGACCACTGGTTGCTCTCGAACTAACACCCCTCGTACCCATCCGACGTGGTACAGCGATTGATATCAGTATCCGTTCTCCTCCAACTGAACGGTCGAAGGTATCATGGAGCAACAATATTATGTTCCGTTCCCGCAACGCCGATGAATGCGAGATTTTGTATGGCCTCATAAACCAGGCGCGCACCACCAATCCTACCTACATAGCTTTGCAAAACGCCCGAGGCCCTTTCACTCAAGAACCCGCTCCTCGAGAACGCCCCTCCAAGAGTGGGGGGTTATTCGGGTGGCCACGTCGCAGGAAGAGCTACCGTGCGTCGAGCTCCCCCCGCTCACTTGCTGACAATTCCGAGAGTAGCGTTGGGACTATGAGTAGTGCATTCTCAGCTTTGAAACGATTTGGTGCAGGCGGCAAGATGTTCAGCATTGCACGATCCTCAGTTACCTCTCGGAGTGGTCAAAAAGAAGATAGCTTATACTCAAGCTCTGCTGGTTCTGGAACAAACCATACGTCCACTTCTGGAATTGGCCGGATAGCAGCCGCTATTAAGAACGTCGACGGCATTGGCCTGTCGAACGCAAAAATTAGGCTTTACATGCGCGAAACTCAGTCCAAATGGCGTGATATGGGTGCTGCTAGGCTAACTATTATGCCGGCGACCGCGGAGCCTCGACGGTTAGAAACAGCTGCTGGCGGATCCAACGATACCAGTTCTGGAGCAGAAGGTGCTGAAGGAAGCCCACCCTCTTCTGGAACTGCCTCTCCTCGGCGCACTATAGATTCTGAAAAGCGTATTCTCATTCGCGGCAAGACACGCGGTGAGGTTCTTCTTGATGTTTGCCTACCTGAAAGTTCCTTCGAACGAGTAGCAAGGACAGGTATTGCCGTGTCAGTTTGGGAAGAGACCGAAGGTGGTGCCATGCCGAAGAAAGGCGGTGTTACCGGTGGCTCGTCCAAGATATACATGATCCAAATGAAGAGTGAAGCCGAGGCAGCATATACATTTGGACTCGTTGGAAAACTCAGATACTAGACTTTATGACTCATATGCAACCCCATACGTGTCGCAAGTTTACCCTGTAAATGCTCGAATTCTCAGCACTCCTTTGTTTTAATTTCCTTTCCTGGTCTTTTGTCTCGAACCAGTTGCATTTCAATTGATAGATAGTTGATCCTGCATACCCATACCCCCTTCAGTTTGTCGCTGTGCTTTCCATATGTTGTTACATTTTTGTTTATGTGAATTACGAGATCAGATGTCACTTGCATGTATGTGTGCGTCTACGAGACAAGGAATGATTGATCGTTATCCTATTATGTGGGATACTGTTTTAAATATAGCATCGTCATCACCAGTAAAACTTTCAACGGCGTCGTAACACCTTTCATAAGCGAATAATTTCGTTCCAGAGCCCTGTGATTATATGTTGACGGAGATGCGGTTATGTCAGGTGCTGTATTTAATTGAAGAGATACATTATGTCTATGGTAATCCCAGATATCGGCATGAGCATATACAGTCAATCAAGTCGAGGATAGTCTATCCTTAATCCAACAAGACAACCGGCATCGACGAATCCGTGTCCTTTGCCAATGCCACGCTAGATTTCTTAAAAACGAAACTGATCCTATTATCCTCCTCTTTTAAGATAGAGAGAAGCACGTCGTCATCAATAGCTTGTTGGATATCTTGCACATCATCAGTTGCGGTTGTTAGGTGACAGGGATCAATATGAGAGTACTGGGATAGCGACTGTTGCATGTTATTCTTCTGCTTGTCAGAGTTGGTGCCAACGGTGCTATTGGCCGTTCTACGCCCAGGGCGTGCCGCGCGATTCGCCTTAATCATGCGCTCTTGCTTCTCCATGTCTAGCTTGGAAGCTTTAATGAGGGTCAACACGTCCGGGAAGTCCTCTTCTACTTCCTCTGAGTCATTTGAGTATGATACGTTGCCTTGTCCGTCTACAAGTGAGCCAGCATGAGAGTCCGAGTTTGACACATTCTGCCCCCTGCCTCCACAATCACAGCTTAGGAGCTCGTGCGTTTGGCATTTGCTATCCTGGTCGAGACGGAACAGGTCTTTTAGTTCATCTCGAGAGAACTGGGCAGCGTTATCCTTGTGCTCCATGACACTATCTGCGAGTCCGAGTTTCGTCACTTGGCGTTGCCAGATCTTCTCTTCCAAGCTACCCTTCAGTAGAATGCGGTATATTCGACAGTGTCGTTTTTGTCCGTCGCGATGGATTCGGGCCATGGCTTGGATGTCGGTGGCTGGGTTCCAGTCAACATCGAATAAGATGAGGCGGCTGGCGCCTATCAAGTTCAGTCCCGTGCCTCCTGCCTTAGCAGATAGGAGGAATGCGAAGCAGCGGTTTGCTGGGAAGCGGTTGAAGTCTTCGACTAGGGATTGTCTTTTTTGCGCTGGAGTCGAGCCATCTAGCCGTAGGAATGGAAGTGATAATGAGGTTAGGAGCGTGGCTAACAGGTTAAGCGTGGATGTATAGTTCGAAACGAGAACGACTTTCTCTGAAGTTGACGTATGCAGGATGTGTAGTAGTTGGTCTAGGACTCGGATTTTAGCGCTAGAGGATGGAGAAAAGTGTCGTAGGAGGTTCGGAGGTAGAGAGGATAGTAAAGCTGCGATTGTTTCACTGGGTGCCTCGTCCACATTTCTTGGGGAAAGCAACGAGGGGCTGTTGCAGAGTTTCTTCAGGATAGTAATGAGCTGTAGAGCGTTCTCTGAGTTTCCAACAGCACATTGAAATACAGGTGAAGCGAGCACGTTTTGATAAATGTTCGCTTGTGTGGGCGTTGGGTCACAAAAAAGTATGTATTCCGACTTTGGTGGAAGGTAGTTCGCAAGAATGTCTGCGGTTCTCCGTAGCATGAATTGAGACGTAATTTCACGGAGCTCTTCGTTTCTGGCTTCTCCCTTCTCGATATCCTTCCTTGTTGCCTCTGGCTGTCTGCTCTTCACAATAGGACCCTCGAATTCGCGTACGAATGCCTTGAAAGTTCCCAGAACTCCTGGGTTCACTATGTCCACTGCCGCGAAGAATTCCTTCAAGTCATTCTGGATCGGCGTACCTGAGAGAATCACTCTTTTGGTGGCATTAAGCGACTGTATCGCCTGTCCACTCTTGTTTTGAAGTGTTTTGAGTCTGTGGCCCTCATCCGCGATGATAACGTCGACCCCAGCTCCTTGTGCAAGTCCTTCTTGTACGGTTCTCAGTTTTTCATAGCCGACAATCATAATATTGTATGCTCTACCCCTTGTAAAGTCAGTCAGCCGTTTTCGCTTGTCATCGAAGACAAATACGCCAATCCGTTCATTCCCAAGCCATTTCCGGAACTCCTTCCTCCAGTTATTGATCAAAGTCACAGGGCACACGATAAGCGCTTTCTTAACTTCAGGAGGATCTTCATAAATCGGATTCTGTTTAAGTAAGGTCCATAGTAGCGTGATTGTCTGCAATGTTTTACCCAAGCCCATGTCGTCCGCTAAAATTGCACCTTGACCATTGAATGATCGCATCCCCATAACACATTCATAAAGGAACTTGACTCCTTCACGCTGATGCGGCCGTAAGTGTTTAGCAAGGATAGGGTCAACCACAACGTCGACAATCCTTTTCCCCTTAGGCGCGGATGCTGGCCGTTTCATCACCAGTGCACCGGGCTGCTTAGGGTCATGACGAGGCACGGGCTCCTCGGCAGCTCTCTGCGGGATAACAGTATTCTCTAACAGCGGTCTTTTGTATGCGCTAGATATAGAGCTCGGTTTCCTTGATGCAGGATTTGGAATAATCTGCATTTGGCCTTTCTCCAATTGGTTCTCCTTGGCAGCCAATGTGCTAGGTTTGTTTCCCGACACAGGTACAAAACCTTTCTTCGATGGCGCTACCGGCAGAGTTGGGCTAGGTTTATTTTCGAGGAATTGCCTCCCCGACAGATACTCCTTCTTCGACATTTCTGAATCTATCTCGACTTCCTTACCTCCGATCGAGAGCATAGTTCCAGGTTCAAGATGAGAGGCTTGCATGGTCCGGCCCATGTCCTTACCCGAGACATCCCGCAAATGAACATATCCATTCCGGACTGAGAGTATACCATCGCCATCCCATGTCTTGTTCTTTTTAGTGGTAGGTTTTCGCCTGAAAATTGTCAGCTTCCTTGTCTTTCTTGCCCATTCTCTTTCTCTCGTCTCTCAAGAACATGGTAGCGATGCGGTCATACCATAAAACATTGAAATACCGCTCGCCTGCAGACTCATCGTCCTTGACATTGTCGTCTACTGATCCACCTATATTGCTCACTTGGACCAAAGGCTTCCTCTCAGTTCTCATCGATGGACCTGCACTATCCACGGTACGGTCTTGGTGCAGACGCGGCCTCTTAGCTGGCGGGCCATGGTTGTCCCGAGTATCGATGGGAAGGTCTGATTTTGTATTCGAATCCTGCGTGTTTTTCCTTATCAAAGGAGGTTTGAACGGTTTAAAGATCATGTCGTGTGGCCTTTAGACTTCTCTTTGGTAGCATTTCGTTCCTTTTAGTGGACGAGTTGCCTTTACTCGTGAGACGCGGCACGGGAAAACGCGTGGTCACATGATTACGTTGGTTGCCAGAACGAGTAAGTATAGATGAATTTCTTCACCTATGAATATTAGTACCGTCAATACTACTGTAGTCTTTTATTAGGATAGATAATTAACATCCTGGCTTGCAGTACCAGCCAGTCAACTTATTAAAGTACTAAATGCTAGAACACAAAGCAAGCTGAGATTAATACATATCATTCATAGAACTAGACCAACAGCCTTATTTTTGTCCGAATTAAATCTTAAGAAAATATACGAGTCGTAAGGGTATGCAGACTGTAGCGAGTGTGAGCCATTTATTCAGACATCTAGTATGTTCGATATCTCTCGCGAGCGCTCACTCTTTAAAGAAGAGTAGTGCTTATTTAGCGTCATCCATCAGCACCTTGTCTGTCAGAGGGACGAATTTCGGTCCTTCATAGGATTTCATCCGGAAGAGCCACCAGATGGTCACAAAAATTGTCAATCCTCCGGTCATCAGACTAGCGTAGTTCATGGAAGCCGCGTCGGTAGGCAAAGCATACGGGAAGCAGAAGATCACGACAAAAGCGAGAATGTAAATGCAGGACAAGGCGTTAATGAGATAGCCAATGCGCCCCATCCAGAAATACCCCGGGGCGAATGTAGAACGACGAGTCAAAAGGTGTGGAAGAATGGCGGCGCAGTAGGAAAGACTAGACAATTGCACGAAGCAGCCGACGAAAGCGTTGAAGGCGGTGGTAGAGCCGACATAGATGCAGGCAAGGATCGTGACGATCACACCACAAACAAGAGTAGCATTGAAAGGGTTGTGCATACGGCTGTTGATGCGCGCAAGCCAGCCGGAGAACGGGGTCGCTTTATCGCGGGAGATGGTCCACAGTGTACGACCGGCAGTGATATAGCAGCCGGCGCATGTAATAACGGTTGGAAGAAAAGCCACAATGAGTAAACCAAGGGCGCCACCCCTAGACCCCGTCGCCTGATGATAGATTTCGGCGAGAGGGAAACCATAGACGCTTGAGATAACTGCATCTAGATCTGTGATCGAGTAGAACAATGCAATCATGTAGAGGACGCCGGTAATAAAACCGACCGTCATCTGGGCGAGGACGGCCTTGGGAATGTTCCGACTCGGTCTGCCAATTCATTAGATACTCGTGCGTAAGTATGGGTTTTATCGTGTTCAATACCTGGGGATCTCCTCTGCAAGATGGGTTGAGCAGTCAGGCGTACCCACGCTGTAAGCACCATTGAGCATTCCGGCAACGAAGACAAAGCCCTCACTAGAATATCCGGTACCATTTTGCCAAGTACGCCACACGTCCGAATCTGATGCGTAGCCAGTACCGTTCACATGGGGCATAACAGCACAGACAATGATTGTAATGAACACACCCGCGAGGATGAAGAACATTCCAAGGTTGCCGATATGTGGGAGTATCCGATTCATGAAAAGGACGATAGCGCAGCAAAGCCATGTACAGATAATAAAACTGACGAATATGTGCCACGACTGGGGGACAAATCCGGGATGCATCAGAGCATACATGGAGACAGTCTGCTGTCCCAGAATAGCAGACATAGAAGCTGCACCAAGGATCCAGGCCAGACAATTCCAGAAGCCAGCGAAGAAACCACATGCACGGCCATACTTTCCCGCTGTGATAGAGGCCCAGTGGTACACTGGATTGAAATTAGCGACTCTCTACACTTGATTGAGAGACATAAATCATTATCAAACGTACCACCACTAGCCGACGGCATTCCCGATGCTAGTTCCGCGATTGAGGCCGCCACTAACCAGTAGCAGACCGACACAGCAATGCTGATATTCCCGTTAGTATCCAACCGATCGATAGTAGCAATAGCGAGGCTTGTCGTACAATTCATAAATAACACCTGATGGCCCCCCATTACTCAGAGCAGTGACCTAAACCGATCATCAGTTGCGTTGTCCCTTCCTTTCTCATTACAGGAGCGACATAGTATAACATACCACACTGCCTCCTTGTGCGATCCATGTGTTTCCAGTCGTAACAGCCACGGCACAAATACTTAACAAACTGAAGTTTCGGTCGAGCTCCTGACGATGCCCGGATGCATTAATCAGTTCTCCCGGTGACTGGTCCTCCGTCGCCGACTCGATAGCTCCCGCCTGTTTTGGCTCTAGCCCCTCCGCAGCTGCCATCGTCGAGGATAACACGACCACTTACGTGACGTGGGTTTCGGGATAAGAGTGGGTTATCAGAAGGAGTAAAGCTGAGTCGGAAAATGAGAAAGCGGGAGAAAAGAGAAAGGGTGGATGGAGGTTTCTTAAGAAAGGAAAATCGCAAGGACGTGGGGGCAAGAATGGAATCTCTCTATGGTTTGAAATGAATGACTAGGGTAACGATGGGATTAATTTAGAAAGATTGGCCGGACATTGCCTCTAGAGTATCACTAGTATATAGTGGGTTAGAAACAAAGATACTGAGCGAAGAAACAAAATTTTATAAAAGATATGATTCTGGTGTGAGTAAGAGTTTATACACTGGCGCAGATACTCTTAGGTTAGAGGACTAACAGTTGGAGTACCTACGGACACTTCAAGTCATTCCTAGCAAATCATCGATGTCAACCGCTCTCCTTGGTGGCCAGTGGCCAGCATGGATAAAGTGGGCCCGGGAAACGTGCTGGTTGGATGCTGAGAACAGGGGGTACCGGGGAAAGTGTGAGTCTTTACCTGAAGGGGGAGCTTGAGCAGAGAAGCCAAAACCCTTTTGAGATCCGGAAGGACGATGATCCTACGTAGGTGCTTTTGAAGAAATAGGATTCTTTTCCCTCCTCTAAGGCTGAGATCCAGTTTCGGATAATACTTGGACATCTTGAACCTCCCCACTTTGATTATCTTTAAAGGATATCGCAACCTTCCCGCACTCCAAGGTCTTGTGCAAGTGTCACTACATGCTAGGTGCATCAGACCATACTCTGTAGTATTCCCGCGGTCGGTTAACTGATTGGGAGTGGAAACATTACTAGAGATTTAGTACCTACTATGAAGTCCGTTGTTTAATGAATGAAAATACAGAATGTAACTTCTGTTACAACTTCAGCGATACTACCGTAGCAAAGCCCCAAACTGTCTTGCTTTCCTTGTAAGTCTTGGACTATTGATTTAGTAACCAGGGCATAAGAGATTTAGTTCATCAGAGGCGATGGTATTAGTTAAGCTGAAAAAAAGCCAAAAACAAAAGAAATAAAAAATAAACCGGAAAAAGGCAAGATAGTGGTTTCATACACACAGAAAATACACAATTAAGGCTTGAACGGGAGAGACACAGACCTTGTTCCACTTGCCCCTTGCCACCAAGAAAGTCTGTTTTCTGGAGCCTAACTTTATTTAGAGACCGGGGCCAATGACACGGGGCCCCAGCGGAACCGTCCATGTTTTAATCCGGCGATTACGCGCAGTCCGCTTATCAAGCAAACTATTCATTTTCATTGCAAATTATCCCTACGCTCTTATTGACACCACCAGTATCTTCATTGCTACCTAACCTGATGACAACTATTAAATTGTTAATTTAGGGCGCCATTTCTTTTGTTTTCTTCTCCTTTCCCTCCTTAATTACTGAAGATAAATGAAAGGAGAGCATGTCTATTTGATACATAACCTCAAGAAGAACGTCTAAGCACTCAATCTACCACTATTTTATCTACAGCTATTTCCAAAAGACTTTCATGTCAGGTGATTGCTCGGCGTCTCGGAGAAACATCTGCTCTATAACTGTCCACACGAGGTAAGTAAAACAAGGCCGGTTTGACATTCATACTACTCCGTAGCAGCGAGTCAGTGATTTGGTCGAGGCCTTGTCGGCTACTCCGGGACTTACCGATTAAAACTAGACATGATTGTATTAAGAGAACTAAAATGCCCAAGGAGGGACTTTTCCCTCTGATTGCGTAGACGGGATAATTTGTGGTTTGTTGTTTCCCACTTTTAATATAGAAAAAAGAGATCGGACGACTTCTCTATTGGAAGACTTCATCTTAATTAATATACGCAGAGAAGATTCTGTGCGAATTATAACGCAAGTTGAGGTGGCTGAGTGACAGGGATCAGGCCTCTAGTGCTCCCAGTCCAAAAGTCAATTAAGAAACAAGGAAGACAAAAGAACAAAGTTTATCTCCGACGCAGCCTCGAACTATACTATGATATATGCGTGATTTTGGTTTCTGACATGAGATGCATGGTTCATCCACCACACAAAGTTTTAGTCCTACTAGGATTAGTAGTAGTAGTGCTACGGTACTGGATAGTGGGACAAGCCAGATATCAGCATGTTATCGTCCAGAAGGTTAACTGGTAAGGAACTGAGGTGCTAAGAAGGTTCTCAATGAGGTTAGACCAGAATTAACTTGAGACTAGTAGTGGTCGGGCCCACTTGACAACACCCAAATCCATGCCCTTTGAGTTGTAATAACGGTAATTACACTTTGCGTTGCATGTCCAACTGCACGTTGCCTTATACCATGAGAATCCAGTTCCCTAAAACACTGTTACCCACCTTACTAAGGAAAAATATTTCTAAGGAACAGTACTTTTCAGCTCGCCAAGTATGTTAATAGAAGAAGAGTTACCTTCGTGTTATCATTTGCCAACGAGAAGGTCAGCTGGTAATTGATGTGGACTGAACATTACTCAGGTACACGCTATACAATGGTTGGTTGGTTGAATTAATGGTGCGACCAACCAACTGTATCCCCCTCCAATCCTCCCAAGTACTAGAAATTATTACTCCAATTACACTTGGAGAGGGGAGCAAAAAAGAAAAAGAAAAGGGAAGGGAAAAAGCATCGGGGCCCATTAAACCAAACGTGGTAGCAAGCACGACTGCCGGCCGGCCTTGTGTGACATGAACCTAGTTCCTGCAGCAAGTGGTTCCGCTGGCGATGAACCTACTAGATTGGATGTGCTGTGTCTTGCCCTCTTTGGGCCTGTTGGTCGATTCTGGTTCGCCTATGAGCTCACAGTAATTCTCCCATCACACTGGAACCAACAAGGGACGCCATACTTTTCGGTTTTCCCTCCAATTCCATTTCCATTCTATAGCAATCGTACCTTAATTCTGGAATCTCACCGAGTCAAGGCTGCCGGTTGATCCTTGCAGCCACACATCTCCCCTGGCAAATGTGCCCAATTACAGAAAGCTTGTCGCGAAGATGTCGGTGCCATCCCCTCATATATCTAGTCCCTCCCTTGGTCCCTTACATGGATCTGCTCGGAATGAATGCCAGTTAACCTATCATTCCCTGGACTTATAGGTTGCTCTCCGAAAACATGTCAAGCTTCAGTCCAGAGTTTACAAAAAGCTTCGCTCGGGAAACATGGACTCTCTATGCTGTAGGGATGCTGGGTGTTTGCCTGCGATTGTAAGTTATCCTTGAAGCGAGAAACGGGGTCCTTACATTCCTATTACTCTAGTTTGACCGTGTTCTAATTCCATACTACACTACAGCGTAGCTCGCATACGTCGTTTAGGAATCCGAAACCTCCAGACAGACGATTACTTGATGGTCTTCGCTATCATCTGGTATACGATCCTGTGCGTTGCTTTGAACGAAGTCGTCATCGTGGGGGGTTCGAACTTGATGAGCGAAGAAGATATTAAGAACTTGACTCCGGTAATCAAAGCAGATCGAGTGAGGGGAAGTAAATGGGTCTTTGTCTCGGAACACTCCTTTGTCCTCGCGGTATGGGCAATGAAGGCCTGTATGCTCGTAATCTATGCACGTATAACGTGAGTTGCTTCCAGCCAATGTCGACGTGGGTGGTTCACTGACTTAATTTGTTAGGGAAGGGTTGCGACAGAGAAAATGGGTTAACTATCTCGCCGTATACGTCGGCCTCGGTTTTATTGGTGTTGAGTTATCTTTGTTCTTGATCTGCCGGCCCCTATCGAATTACTGGGCTGTGCCTACATCCTGTGAGTTGTCGACTCTCTATGCGTCCCAAGTAAAGCAATAGCCTGGCTGACTATGGTGTAGATCAATGCTCGAGCTACCAATACTACGAAATTATCCAGGGATGTATATCGATTTCCGCGGACATTCTGATGCTCCTTATCGGGCTGCCACTTCTGCTGCAAGTACGCGTGCCCCTCAAGCAGAAGCTGATACTTGTGGTTATTTTCGGCATGGGAATTTTTGTTATTGTTGCAGCAGTCCTGACAAAGGTTTACTGTCTCGTCCCGTCACTCATCTCATACGTCTACATGAATTGGTACTTCCGAGAAGCAACAGTGGCTGTTCTTGTCACCAACCTGCCACTCATCTGGTCTCTCCTTCGCGACGTGTTCCCTGCCCTCAAAAGCTGGACAGGGGGATCCAAGCGAGCCACTGAGCGGTATCGGTCTGGCCCGTGGACCAGCAAAGCCTCGGGGTACGGCCAGCACTATGGACCGTCGAGTCAACTACGCTCAGGCGAATTTAGCATGCACGATTACAACCGAAGCATCGTTACGCCTCACAAGCCGGCTTCTGACGTTAGCATACATGCGAGTGACGATCGGGATGTTAGCGATGATGGCTCTGACAGAGCCCTGAGAATTCGGCAGGACGTTACTGTCACAGTGGAGCACGAATCCCGGGCTCCCGAATCTTGGGGATCCCATCATACCAAAACCGAAAGTCTTAACGGGGTGCAGCAACCGCAGCCATGAAGCATACGATTCTTGTCTCGCATTGTAAAATAATATCAATTCTGTATATATTATTATTTCTTCCAGTCCTTTTTTTTTTTTTTTCTTCCCATTCTGTTTGGGATTCATTGTGTATATAGCATCATTTGTCATGAGAATTTAGATATCCACTACGTTAATTATAAAGTCTGAGGAGTGCTCTTATGTACTGTACATACGAGCACTACTCCATGTGAAGCAGCCCCAGCGCACATCACTCAATGATCATCGGGGGGTGGGGATATTGTCCCAAGAGGGGTATCAAGAACGACCACGGTTCTCGAGTGGGCATTAGTGATTCTTGAGGGTCGACACGGATATACGGCTGTACAAGTACATACTTACTCCCAATAATAATCATAGGGGCAAAACCACCATGGATCCAACATCCAGCTGTGCAACCAGGGGAGTAGAAAAAATTTGTTTCACACGATTGGATGACCAGTTTGTTCTTTAGCTTATCGTTATCTCCGTCTCCAAATGCCACGGACTTTAACCGCAGATCTCCCGGTCCCCTCTTATCACGTGAGTGAAGTGACCGTAACTTTACATACTTTCATCTTTGGTAGGTCTTGTGTGCGTTTCCACGTTACGGTCCAGCCTCGGGTGAGAGCCTTGCCGAGTGCCGGTCTTTATCCGCTCCTGCTCGTTTTCCATTCTGAATCTTTTGCTCCCCAAAAAAGAGATTTCACCAATAAGAGAAAATTGAGGACACGCACACTACTTGTACTCCACTATGGAACCTCGAGCTATTCCATGTTCTGTGCCACAGAATTCCTTGTGTAATACTGCTCACGCGACCAACATT